ATAGACAAAAAGACATAAGAAGCAGTATAAGTGAAACCTGTATCAGTATGGTTTCTGAAAAGAGGTATGGCAAAAAATGTCCCTGTATACTGTAAATACTTGAGCTCAAATCACCTTCAGAAGATGGAATAATATTTCTGTAACAGTACCCATTCTTCCTCTCTGTTTACATCCCATCACCCTTCCTTTGCTCTTCATTTTGTTCAGGAGCTGATGCTTGTAATGTCACAAAACATTCCTTCTCTCATCTTCGCAGTGAGAACCAGTGACAATTCAAAGCAAACTGTTCCGCTTTACTCAGAAATCTCTTGTTTGTACAGGCAGGATCAAAACTGTAATTTGTCTTGTGATGCAGATGTCATACTCTCCAATTGTGAGTAAATTGCTACAATTTTATGAAGCTGTTGTTTTAAAGTAGTGATTCTTCTCTTTCTTGTGGTTCATGATGGTCCCAGTCAATGAAGCAGCTCTATGCTAGCAAGCATCATAGAAACTTTTTTTTTCGGTTGGTTGCAGTGGTAATGATTTCCTGTGTTCTGTACTAATTAGTAATCAATGTAACATGGTAAAAATTTCTCTGTTTTTGATATTTCAGTGTTTTTTAGAGGTTTCTATACTGTATGCTTATACAGAAGATGCAGACCTTAAAACTATATGCATACTGACAATCATGTTTAATCTAGGTGATTTTGTCCTGAACATCCCATTAAATAAATAATAACCCAGTAAACCTTGCCAGCTTTTTCATGGGTGACACTGCCAAGGTATTCTCTGGTGTAGTCTGCCATGACCATCACAGTGGCCTGATTGAATCCCTGCACATTAGTGTAATTTGTCATGCTCTGAGCCAAGAACTGCAGGAAATAATCTTCAAATCTGATATATTATGTAATGAGATACAAACTCTTAAGCAAATATATTCAGAAGGCAACCTTTTTCCCTACCCACAAATATTTACCATACTGCCTCCTGACTAGCACACTCAAAACCAGCTCTGTTTGGGGTCATGTTTTCCATCTATCTTCTGCTGTTGAATGGGGGTCATACAGTGTTCTTGTACCAAATCAGTATGGCAGTTTGTGTCAGTCCTCCCATGTATGGGGAAGGAAAGGATGGACAGACTTGCTGCACGTTACCTTTTTAGGAGGCTCTAACAGCTTTTTTTGTGGTTGAGTTGTCGTTCTCTAAGCAGTAACTGTTTATATCCGCCTAATAAAGTTGTGGATTTTAGCAGCTGTTTTTTCCTGGAGGGTTTCTTTACAGCTGAAGCTGTTGTTGGTGTTGGCAATGCTCACTTAGGACAGAGTAGTTGGCACACTTCAAAGGGAGAGCTTAATCCTGGGGATTGGCTTGATAGAAACTTTGGGCAGTTCAAGAGGGGAAGTGATATTTTCACGCCTGAGGCAGACTAACCCTATACCTCAGTACAGCCTGGGAACTGACTGACTTGAGCTGCAGTCCTGCTGAAGAATGTGCAGGTGTTACAATGGACACAGAGCTGAATGGAAGCCAGCTGTATGTGCTGATGATAAATCAGGCAAACCACACAGGCGCTATGTTCAGAGGTGTTTGGCCAGCAGACAGAGGGAACTTACTGTCTGCTGCTACTTGGGGCTACTGAAGCTGCACCTGCAAATATGTGGTGTTGGTCCCACCAGTCTAAGATGGACACTGAGGCAATAGAATGAGAGCAATGGGAGGCAACCAGGACTGCTAGCAGAAATGAAAAAGCTGAAATCTTCTCAATAGTGACAACAGTAACAAGGGATAATGGCCACCAAAAGACCTCAAGGCATTTTTAATAGAAGCCAGTGAAGCAACTTAAACAGTTTACCCAGACAATTTGTAGAATCTGTTAACAGAGGTTTTCAAGACTGGTAGACAAGACAAAGTTATCTGATCCAGTGTTCGTGAATTACCCCATGTTTCATGGGTATTTAGCCATCCACAGAATTTCCTCCAGAAGCATGTCTATGATCATCCTGTGTTTGAGGCGAGCTCTCTTGAGGTGTGAAGGAAGCTCTGCCTCTTGTGCCATCATCAGTTCCTCTGCTGAGTGGGACCACAGAGCAGAGCTCTGCCTGGTTCTAAAACTGGATGCTGGACTCAATGGTGCATTCCTTAGAGATGAGCACCTGAAAGATTGATTCAGGCAGTTTGCCTTGTCTTCATTTATACTGTGTTTCCTAATCTAGGCTTAATCTAATGAGGTTGCTGACCTGCAGCTGTTACACCCACAGTCAGATACTGATCTCATCTGGGATGTATCAGGTTCCAGATGAGCTGAGGAAAGAAATTTCATCTTCAATTTATTAATTTTCAGCTGAGACAAGTGACCAAATGGATCAAGAGTCCTTTTCTCAATTGGCCTGAACTGCTTTGACTCTGGCCACACACTGGGAACTGCTGTGTGAGGCCAGTTGGGGTAGTCAAGCTGTTCCTCATAGGGCAAGTAGACTGAGACTCATACTACTTGCTGGCAGGCATTGCATTCACATTTAGAAGTGTTAGGGTATAAACTTAAGGTGTTACAAGCCAAAAGGTCTGTGTAGGCTAAAGGCTTTTTATATACATTTTTATATACATATTTATATATATTTTATATACAGCAGAACAATTCTGATAGCAAAGATTTGAAGTTTGCTTATTCTGCAGTCCTATCATGAGAAAAAAATACAGTTGAAAACTACCTCAGGCTGAGGAGAATGGTCTGATTGTAGCTCTTCTATGGGATTGAATGCTCTGGACACTGGGATTGAACCCAGGAATAAAGTTACATCTTCTGCAGCTTTACAGAGTTACCCATTCATTTCGTTGTGTCTTCCAATAAGGAAATAAAAGAAATGCAACATGTAATTTTTGCTATGGAATGAAACATATAATTTAAGGTCAAGTGGAAAATTTTGTTTTGTACAGCAGGAGTTATTGGCTTTGACATGCAAGAGGAAAGGGTGTGTGTTTCGCCTTAATGCAAGCCAATACGTGTTTCCAGTTTTTAGTTTGACAACTCATTTTCTTCTAACTAGAAGGGTATGTTAAGAAAGGAACAGAAATTATAGGGAGAGAGTAGCCTATGTTAAAAATAATTGACTGGAATTGACCTGTAGTTTTGTATTCTATGTCTGCTTCTGTCATGGTGTTTCCTAACAAGACACTCTCTGGGCATTTTTTGGATTAATGTATGTTCCTCAGTTTTGAGAAGTCTGGTTTGAGACCATGGTTGCAATTTATAGTTGTAAATTTATAAATTTATAAAATATGTAATATTTTATATAATATATAATATTTGTATTACCTGTAATTGATGAAATAATATAACAAATAATTTAGCAAATAAATATAATGTTATAAATAGAATTTATAAAATTATTGGCATGCAGACCTCAGATTACAATTTTATATTTTATTATGGAATTGTGATACATTATAGTTTATAGAATACTATGCCTTTAAAGCAGACCAAAACATAAACAGAAAAGCCAAAAAAAGAACACAAAATTCTTGAATGGGACACCAAAATCAGTGAGTAATTTAAAAAGAAAATCACTTCCTTGATAGAGAATGCAGATAAGGATAATCTGTTGTCTCTTTTTAAAATGAAAATAAATAAATATTTGTGATGACATGAGCTTTACAAAATCCTGTCAGGAGATTGTTAATTGTGGCTTCAGAGCAGGGTTTGAGTGGAAGTCAATAGATTAAACACATGTCAAACCACAAGGAGAAGAAAACAAAGTGGTCATTTAGTCATCAGTACTCAGGCATGCCCTCAGTGAGGGAGGAATCCTTTGATGATGTGACTATACAAAACAGGTAGAAAAAACCTGTTTCTTATGTTGCAGAGTAAGGCTAATTTGGTATTTCTTAACTACCCAAGGCGAATTGAGTCTGCATTTCCTTCAAGAGGTCTTGCTTCAAACTTGGAGAGAAAACCTCCCCCATGTGGGCTGCCATCAGCCCTTAGAAATTACAAATTTGAGCCCCTAGCCCCATATGAAGGAAATTCATAAAGTAGAACATGAGAATCAGAAGTGATGGGGTGGTCTTTAGCCAGGGTGCAAGATGCTGGGCATGTTGTTGATGGATGTGGATTCACATTCAAGGGGTTGGGCAATAAAATTGTGTGACAATCCATTAGCCTCCTTTTGTAACATAGCAGTGAAAGTAAGTAGCAACACTCAATTATCCTCTTCTGCCTTCACTCCCAGTGGAAAAGAAAAAATAAAACAGTGAGGAAACAGAGCTATTGCAATATCAGCAAAAATACCATATTTAATGGTAAAGCCAAAAAAGGGAATCTGACCTAAAGGAAGTGCTGTGAATGTTAGGAATAACTGATTCAAAGACATATTTGTGATTGTTTCCACATGAAGATTTTAGCATCTGATGCTTTCATTAGAAGGATCAAATTTGATGTCTTGATATAATCAAAAAAATTAAAAAATTAAAAAGAAGTTATACACATGGTTAGAATCTGAAGTGGCTGATGTTTTTAAGAGATAGTTACCTGAGTGCCCATTGCATGCTAGTGAACTCATTAAAATTATGATACGATGTTTTTTCTTCTCACTGAATACAGAAATTTGCCAACCTAAAGCAAGATGAAAATGAATAAAAAAGAGACACGGGCATCAAACTAGAATTAATCTTCTTAGTAGTTTGTTGTTTGTAAGCAAATGCTAGCCACTTGAATTGTACTGAAATATTTAGGTATTTTGCCCATCTCACAACTGAACTTTCAGACTTCTTTCTATTCACATTTGTTCACATGGCCTGAGCCAGCTTTTAAAAAAATGCATCGGTGATTTAATGGAATGAGTTATGTGTTATTTTCAAAAAGTAAATGACGATGACATAGACTCTCTGTGGTCAGCCTCAGTTGAGTAGGAGGAGCTTACGTGATGGACTTGCACACGGTTAGAATAACAAGATAATTGGTGGAGGTTTCGTGGCACATTTGAAAGCAAGATCTGAATTTGCTTGTGTTTAATTCCTTGCAGGCTGTTTCCAGCTATGTAATGTTTTTCGGACCCATGAGATGGAAATTGAGCAGTGCTTGCTGGAGTCCCTCCCCCTGGGCCAGCGGCAGCGGCTGGTCAAGCGCATGCGCTGTGACCAAATCAAGGCGTACTACGAGCGGGAAAAAGCTTTCCAGAAACGGGAGGGCCACGGGAAGAAGCTGAAGCATGGAAAGAATCAACGAGTTTGCTTTAGTCCTGCTGATATGATACAGGATGCAATCATACGCCACGATGATAAAGAAGGTACGTATTAACGTTATACGATATTTTCTTTTGTACAGTAAAAGTTTCAGAGAGAAAAGCTTTCTTGTTCTGCTCATCTGTCTTTAAGTAAAATGCAAAATACTAATCATAAAGTGATTGTCTCAGTGGAATATGCAGGCATGTATTGCATACAACATGTAACTTCTCAATGAAATGAATAATGTGTGGAGAGTAAACCTTCAGAAACCTAATGAATTCATTTTGAGATTAATATAAACTAATATATTTCAAAACAAGTAAGGACTATGAATCTGTGATTATGCCTGGCCTCTTACATACCTACATGAGCCATAGAATTTAACACAAGTTACTTTGAAAATTAGGCTCTCATTTTTAGCCAAAATTTGGAGTAAGGGATGCTACTGTTGGTGACATTGACGTGTCTAGAGCAAGGAAATGGTGTTGATCCATGGTCACACTAGATAGAAGGTCATCTTTCTGCTTGTGAAATTATGTTTATGTCCTTTTGAATTATGTAACCACACGTTATTGCTCTGTTTTTAGTTTCTTGGCGTTGTGTGAATCCCTGGTGCAGCTGATAGTAACCAGAGGAATTTGTAATTTATACCTCAGAAGTGAACCAAACCTTGCAGTAAGAATCTCCCAATTTTTAGAAGTCCCCAGAAATCCCCATAATGTTGTGTGGTCAGGAGGGATGTAAGAAAAGAACTGATGCAATGTATTGGCAACTCCTTTGCAAACAGAGTTTATGTCAGTTCTTTGTAATCCCATTACTGTAAAAAGGGGAGACTCTGAGACAGACACACATCATGCGATGAACTTGGCAAGATTCTCCTAGTTTTTATCAGTTTGATTAGCTATGCCTTTTTTACTTACTCCTGAATCTTCATTTTATTGTCCATTTGCTCCATCATTGCTTATCACTCAGGTGTAGTCCTATACATTTAAATCTTTAGAAGAAATTAATCAAAAAGCTCTGCTTTTGAACTGAGTACACAGGGCACAATTTATAACTATATAATACATAAAATTCACAACCTTTCATTCCTCTCTCCTGCTTCTTCCTAGCAGGAATTATAAACAAAGATCTTCCTCCATGTTCCCATAGCTCCAGCTTTCTTTGAAAACCAAGCAGAACACTAGATATGACTTTTAGCATTCTGTAAAATTCAGTTTCTTGAGGCTATTCTTGACATTCACACTGAAGAAATGTAGGTTGCTTATTGAAGTGGTGGAGGGGCATCAACAGTGTTTTGTGTTACCTATACTTGGCCTTGAGCTGCACCTGAATCAGAACATAAAGTTCAGCAGCTGCTGAGACTGAATAACCTAAGCAGAAAGGGAGGATATCTCAGGCAGAGGGAAGTAAAGTGGAGGAAAACCAGGAATGTTGTCCTGCACTTGAAACAGATAAAACAGGTCCCAGAAGCAAGGAGATCAAATAGCCCACAGATAATATAGTCTTGAATTTGTTGCCTGTGGTTCTTTCCCAGGGACTATGAAAATGTGTGATTGTTGTCTTTAGGCAGCTTGGGGACCTGCTGTTTGTGCCTGTCTGTTGTGTTTTTAGCCAAATGTTCCCAGAGCCTGTTTGCTTTGGGGTGAAAAATGTTATATTAAGAATTATTATCATCAAAAAAACCCCAAACCAGAACAACAACAGCAACAAAGTTTATACTCACAGACATGAAAGATGTTTTCCTACTATTGTTGTTGAGTGAAACATGGAACCATCACTCTTCAGTGAATATACCTACATTAGAATTTCTGTTCAAATTATACATATTCTTTTGTAATAGTACCACATCCATTTACTGTCTTTGGTGGTGTTTTATGGAGCATGTAATGTAGATTCCTTTTAGGCAAAGCTGTACTGGAAGATGTGGTCTGGAAGTACAGCTAGTACCCCAAAACAGCAATGAGCTTTGAATTTGTAAGGCTCAGCTAGACAGTGCCTGGAATAATCCCATGGAAGTAATGGGATATAGCTGGGGAAGTTGGGCTTTTGCTACAAGCTTTTTCTCTTCTCTATTTAATCACATTTTACAATGTACTCAGCAATCAACAACACTGGATAGGTGTAAAAGACAGCTAAGAAAGGTGTTTTGCTGTTCTGTGAATGAAATGCAAAACCAATGTCATTTAGAAAGTAGAAAGAGAGCACAGCAAGGGGATACAAGTAGTTGTCCAAGGGAAGTCCAGGGGTTCAGTTTTTCTGAAGTATCATAAATTATATAGACTGGAGAGCACATTTTGAAGTGGTGAGTTGTAGTTCTGGTTTAATACATGAGATAAATTGGATACCATTAATACATATTGAAAGATGAATTTATAATGTGGCTGGTGCAGAGACATTTCACAATTGAGTCTAGTCAGAATTTCAATCTTACAAATTCATTGTCTTTGCTATTCATGAAAAATCTTCTCCAAAATTACTATAGCAGCTGCTACTGAGTGTTGCTGTTACTGCATGCTAACAGGAGTGACCACTAGTTTGCTCTAAAATTAATTTTAGAACTGGCTTTGAGAATTTTTTACTAGTGACTTGCTTTTTATCAAATGTATAAAATAAATATATGCTTATTTGATTTTTCAATAAGTTAAAAATAAGTAAAATTGTGTATCTTTGTTCTTTTTTGTTATTTTATTATTAGTAGTAGTAACTGTTTTTTAGTATTTTATCTGACCCAGGGAGATTGAAGGGGAATCCTCATTCTCTGTCTCCTTGTAGCACCCGGTAGTTTCTCTGTTTTAAAGCAATATGTTTTTACTGCTGATGGGCCACATCCACCCACACTACTAGCAGTGAGCATTTTGAGAGATTCTGCAACTATTATTCTCAGTGTTGACATGTATAGAAGCAAAAGCTGATGAATAAGTGAGTGCACTGTTTTTTGACACTGATTTTGTACATCTTTACTGCTGGCAAGGGAATACCTCTTGTTAATTTCTCTTTAAATACGATATACTTTTCTTCTGTGAGATATTAAATCCCTAATAAAAATGGACAGCAGGCAATTTGTCTTCCTGGCATCAGTCATATAAATGTGTTGCAAAATGGGAGAGGTAGCCAAGGAGGCTTCTGCAACCCATTCCTTCCCATTGCAAACTAGGCTTGCTTGCACCTAGTTATAGGTATAGGCATCACCATGGACTCCGATCTTTTCTAGTACACACACAAACCACACATAGGTATGTGCTGAGTCTACTCATCAGCTGAGACCCATCTACAAGCGATTAGGAAATGAACCCAGCACTCGGGAAATAAACTGAGCCAGTCTCAGTCTGAGTTTCTGCTTCAAATTCAAGGTAGGCAAATGGGTCCTTAGCATTTGGGCCTCTTGAGGATAAGGGGTGTGCTTCCTTCCTGAGGCAAAGGTGCAATTATTAGCGCTGACAGCACTGAGAAAGAGTGGCTGCTTCGAAAAATGTACTTTTTGGAACATGAGCTGATAGATAATCTTGTTACAATGAAAACAGTAGCTGAAAGTGGACGTGAGAGTCCTGTGCCTGAAATCTAACATAGGGGAAACTGAAGGACTGGCTTTAGTTTCTATCACCTTTTGGTATATTCTGTAACCCACCTTCTCAGTCATTCTGCAGATTTACTCAAAATCTAGGATTGTCAGACAGTCTTTGTATGCAGTAAGTATCTTTTGTTTTAAAACCTCTCAGTTGTGGTGCAGGCATGATGTGTACCAGAAAGTCTGCCGGGCTGGCAGGTGGTGCTGGGTCAGGGTACAAAGTGCAGAGTGCCATCAAATTCAGCATGGAGACAAAAGAGGTACTCCTGTGAAAATCAGCATTACAAAAGGGAAATGCAGATTCCCAAAACCTATTTAAAGCCCATTTCATCCTTCTGATGAGCAATATGCTGATTCTATGACAGCATTGTGATTCTGAATAACAGCAATACCAGGGTGAGTGTGTGTTAGCATAATGCTGGGTCTCTTGTAATGATTCTTTGTCCTTTTGTAGTGACTCCCTGTTTTAGTCAGTCTTTCTCAATTCTCCCAGAGCTTCTCCCTAACCCTACAGCGTTGCAGGTGTGATTTTGTCTTTAGAGATAGAACGCTGGGATATGGTGCCTGGGACAGCCTTACTCTCCCTTCTCTCACCAGGGTATGTCAGGGAAAGGTGATTTAAAAAGAAGATGGTACCAATATCCTGCTTTTCCTGCAGTGTTCACTGCCAAGGCAGGTCTCCCGAGGCTGGGTCCTAGCCCCAGCTGGTTGACTGCTGAGCTGTTTCATAGTGTAGGAAAGAAAACAGAAATCCTATCTCACTTCCTCTGATGCCAGTATCTCTAGCTGTGTGAAAGATGTGATATTATTGTGAGATTGGTAGTATCATGATATTTGAAAGGGCTGGAATAATCAATATATTGGAAGGGTTTAGTGCCATTAGTTATTTCAGTCAGCACTGTATAATGTTCCAGGTTATGATAAATTTCAGTTACATTAATTAAAAGGGTGTGTAAGTGAGCATAAAAGGGGGTATAGGTGGGGCTGGTGCTGAGCTGTAATTTACATCTGAACAACTTTGGGCTATAAAGAGGGTTCTGGGGAGGGGAAACAAAATCTATTCAGAAGAAGAGTGTATCTTTAATTTAAGGTGGCAGATGAGTTGCCAATTAACTTTCGTTAGGAGAATGTGTCAGAGATGTTATAATAATCCTTCTTCTTCATGGAAAAAAGACAAATAATGTGAAACAGAAAACAGAGGCTGAAACTGAGCAGAAATAAACCATTTTATATTATTTCCCTGCATTCTTTTCAAATCTTCTAACCAACTTCCTATTTTTGCATTCTTTTACATTAGGCTTAGTTATGATTTAATGTCCATTTTCCAGTAGAAACAGCTTGGTTGGTTACATACAAGATGTTCTGTAAAACACTGGATTGCACTGATTGCATCTGGCAAACATCTCGGAGCAAACTTACTGGTCCTCAACAACCAGTTTTAACATTGCCAGCAGTCTTTTTGAGAAGCTGGAAGAAGCAGGATGTGGGCAGTAG